GTTGGACTTTGAGTTGCTTCGATTCCACATCATTTACAACCAGAAACACACGCACCATGAGCTCCAACGCAGTTTGGTTGAGCTGTGTGACCTGGTGGTCAGTTAATCACATCGTAAAAGAAAAGTGTCACACTTCTGCATTGCGAGGGGAATCGTGGATTGACGAGTTGCTCCAAGGAAATGTCCGACGGTTCCGCAATCAACTGTGCATGCTGCCTGGTACATTCATTGCACTTTTGGCGATGCTTATGAACAAGGGATTGCTAAGCCCAAGTCGATACGTGTCAGCCAAAGAAAGGTTGGCAACGTTTCTCTACGTCGTTGGCCATGCCGCTTCAAGCAGACAAGCACAAGAACGATTTCAACGAAGTGGTTGGACGGTCACGCAATCAATGAACGAGGTACAATATACTTGTTCTCATCATCATGACGGTTAATTATAGGTTTTGTCGGCTATGGTCAGGTTGTACCCGACGGTCATGCGTCCCCCTGGGAGCAGTATTCCGTGGGAAATTCACTCGAACCCCAAGATGTTTCCATTTTTCAAGGGCTGCGTCGGCGCCCTTGACGGCACGCACGTACCGGCGATCCCTCCGCCATCTGGAGCAAAGCCGTTTCGAAATCGAAAGGGTTATATGAGTCAGAACATCCTAGCGGCGTGCACATTCGATTTGAAGTTTACTTACGTATTGGCTGGATGGGAAGGTTCTGCATCAGATGGGCGTGTTCTCGAGGATGCGCTGCTGAACAAAGGATTTGTTATTCCCCCGGGAAAGATGTATCTTGGTAAAAATATATTTTAATATCTATTAATAACATATTTTAATATCTATTAATGACATATTTTAGGTGACGCTGGATACGGTCTACACCTTAATCTGTTGACGCCCTATCGGGGAGTCCGTTATCACCTACGCGAGTGGTCACTAGGTAATCAGAAGCCCAATCTCCGAAAGAGTTGTACAACCTTCGCCATGCTCAGCAACGTAACTGTATCGAGCGAATCTTTGGTGTGCTTAAGAAGCGGTTCCGTATCTTTGTAACCGCCCCGGAGTACCCATTCCCAAGCCAAGTCAACCTCGTCTACGCTCTATGTGCCATCCACAATATCATCGACGGCCTTGAAAGCGATAGACATTACCTAAACAAGGCTGAACGAGATATGCGACGTCGAAATCGCCGTCGTGCTAAGCGAGTGGTCAACCACAACGAGGGCCATTACACGGACAATGAAGATCTATCCGCTGCTGCATGCGAAGAACGGGATGTTATTTCCACCGCAATGTGGGAACAATATACTCAGCAAAATCAACAGTAGCATAGATATTAATAATGCAATCCATGTAAATCATGTAATTAGTTGAAAAATATTTGTAGTTGCATCGATATTATTTATGCTACTAAATCAGTTTTTCTACCCAGGCATCGCGCGCATTCCCGCCTAATCCCAAGAAAATTGTTGCATTGAAACCTTCGCCAAGCTTGTCTGCTAAGTTTGCGATTACGTGACCATCCATATGGCCGTAGTTTTCCATGAGGCAATGAATGGTGGCAGCTATACGCTCGTGTGGATCGGTACCACTTTTTTCACTTGATCCAGTTTAGCGTTTTCGACCTCGACCAACTTTGACATCGCTTCACCAATAATTGACCCAGCCGATCGTTGTTCTTTTTGCTGACGCGGCTTCTTCTTTCGGGGCATCATATTGTCGGAATCGTCCGAATCGCTGCTGATGTCATCGTCCAGGGCAGAAACTTTGCGCCCTCCACGTCCTTTGGTCACTGGGGCTTGTTGATATTCCTCGAAATCCATGCGATCACTTTGCATGTATTCGCCCGTCGGTGGGTAAACATCGGCCGGCGGAAAAACGTCGGCACCGTTGATAATGTTGTTGTGGCCATATGAACGCATATATTAGAATGATTCATAGTGCAGCGGCAGTATCATTACGCAGTCTACACGAGACTTCAGTTGTGCTGGCAAGTAGTTGACCCCATACTCGAGGTTGAACGCATTACACACGGCTCGCCAGGCCTCCTTCTTGAACCCGTTGTCAGCTCGTTTGCCGGAGTCAGCTTGGGCTTGTAGCTGCGTGACAAGAAACAAATCGCGGGCGTGCGACCAGGTGGCACGGCTGTCCTTCATTCCCAACGATGTTGCCATTTCGAATTGTTCTGAAAGAAAAGAAGTATCACGTGTCTGGCAAAAAGTGCCAATATTTTCACACAAAATGGAGTTTTCGTCGTTATTCAATAATTACTGATTGAGATGTTTGCCCCCGCACAAAATGCCATTTTATCCTCCAACTGTTACCAGACGCGCTCT